TTTAAAATATCAATCTGCTTGATTTCTATTGAGGGCAGCCCATATGATACAAATTTGAACACATCAGAAACGTAATTAAGATATTTTTTGGCTGTCCGCTCACGTGATCAAATTACATTCTGATAAAAACGTAACTTTTGTATCAGAAAAATTATAATCGTCATTCGGATAGTTCATAGGGCACCAGATCTTGCATTCTGATATTTTCCCGGGTCCTTGGTAAAATATATCACATGTCGGATATCGATCAAAGCAAAATTACCTTTCGAAAGTTAAACTTTAATAGATCTTAGTATCAAGCTATATATTAATTCGGCAAATCATGGCAGAATATAAAGGTGCGTCATCAGAGGGGCAACGACAGGCTATGCTGGAAAAGCAAAGAGCAAAAATGTTAAGCGATTTTGAGAAACAACGGGAGAAGATCGCTAAAGTGAGTAAGTTATTCTTTTTTTGTTTGGCCCACATAGCATACAAAAGCGATTATTACTTTTTGAAATCTTTTAAACTGTCTTTTTCAAATTGGTTGATATAAATTAATTTAAACCTTTAAGGATAATCAAGTCAACATAACCAACAGCAAATTTGTGACACAGTATGATGATGTCGAAGATTCATTAAAAAAAGAAACGATTGGGTTGGTTAAGCTTGAGGATTTTCAAAAGATCAGAAAAGAATTACAGGTACAAAAAGAAAGAGAGGCAGCAAGGACCGCCGAGTTAAAGTATGTATTCCATTTTATACGATTTTGGAGAAAATACGTGGGATTCTTTTATCTGATACCATAATTATGTAATTAGAGAAGATAAGATTAAAAAGAAGCGTAAAAAGAAGGAAGAAAAGGTTAAATTATCCTTTTACTCAGAAGACGGAGATCCTGAAAACGATGATAATGCTAATAAAAGTGAAGGTACATATTACGTAGAATGTTAAATATTAAAATCATTATTTATGTCAGAATATTTGATCGTCTATCACAATGAAAATTATATAATAATAGTTATCTTAGAAGAACCGGATCTTACATTATCATCAAAGAAAAAACCTAAATTAGGTAAAAATCCTAACGTAGACACGTCGTTCTTGCCTGATCGTGATAGAGAAGAAGAAGAACGTAAGGAAAGGGAACAGTTACGGCTGGAATGGTTACGGAAACAGGAAGATATCAAAAGTTTGTATTTGCCTTGTATAATTTTTAATTTCATTTAATTTTAAAAATCATACTCATTTTCAAATAGATGAGAAAATTAGCGTCACATATTCTTATTGGGACGGTACTGGACATCGAAAAACTGTATCTTGTAAGAAAGGTGATTCTATCGCAAGTTTTTTAGAAAAATGCCGACAGCAATTTCATGAATTGCGTGGAGTTAGTGTTGATAACCTGATTTATGTTAAGGAAGATTTAATTATTCCCCATGTATGTGAATATTTTAAAAATCTATTGCAACTTTATGTTGTATCGTTACTAAAGAAGTTTTATTTAAATAGCATTACACATTCTATGATTTCATTATCAATAAAGCAAGAGGAAAATCAGGACCCTTGTTTAATTTTGATGTGCATGATGACGTTCGTTTAACACATGATGCTACAGTCGAAAAAGATGAAGTTTGTATATTCGATTTCGATAATTTTTACTGTCAATTTAAGAATTATCCTTTTTTAATTTATTTAAAAAAATAACTGATAGTCACATGCCGGTAAAGTTGTTGAACGAAATTGGTATGAAAAAAATAAACATATCTTTCCAGCAAGTCGATGGGAAGTCTATGATCCAGAGAAAAATGTATGTTATTGTGTTTATTGTTTATAAAGAATTTTATATTTTATTATAACTAATGTTAAACTTATTTTTATAGTACGGAAAATATACGATTAAAGATACTAACAAAAAATCTGGAGCGGAAGATTAATAAGTATTATATATATTTGTTAAATTTAATACAATAATCTCGATAATTTGTGAGCAAATAGATACTTTGTGTATAGATAACTTTTATAACTATTGTAACCATGCAGCATAATATTCCTAATAATAAACTTAAATCACGTGCGGATAAAGATAATCAATTAAGCCACACGATTTATATCAGATATATATATATATGTATGATGAGTGAATCATTTGATTTTTTTTTTTTTTTAACGAATCCAATTATAACAAAAATAATGCTATTGCACCGAACTTTCAATGTCTCATTGCAACCTTGTATGCGGACCGTGACTGCACAGACATCGAAGCGGTGTTTGAACAGCTCGGCTCGTCGTCGTAAGTGAAAAGCTAAACACCAAATTGATATCAAGTTTACAAGTGGTAGTGAAATTTAGTGTTTTCAAAAGTTAATTAAAATTTATGTAAACATTAAAATATATACACATTTTTTACAATTATTAAGTTCTGGGTGTAACGAATCCTGTTCTAAATAGTTCTAAACTGGTATGTAGAAGTAAACCATCTTACTTTTAGTTATTTACATAAGTTGTATTAGTAATCTTTGAGCGTTATTGGCGATTGGCGATTAATCTTTATATAATCGAAAGAACGCTTATATAATTCTGATAATATATGTGCTTTAAAGAAAAAATTTTCTTTTTATTTGGTTGTAATGATTCAGCCTGAATTGCAGCCCTAACATTCTTCATCTTTCGTCAGAAGTTTCGTTTTTCATCGGAGGTTTCATCAGGATTTCATCTTTCGCCAGGGGTTTCGTCATTACGTAAAATAGTTTCCCCTAAAAACTATTCTCGAACTTATGCAGCCGAGGCGACAAAATTTCAACGTGTCAAACCACATGTAAATATCGGTACAATTGGTCACGTTGATCATGGGAAAACGACATTAACTGCCGCAATCACGAAATGTTTGGCATCAAAAGGAAAAGCAAAATTTAAGGATTATGGGGAAATTGATAAAGCTCCGGAAGAAAAGGCGCGAGGTATCACTATCGCCACGGCTCACGTAGAGTATGAAACAGATTCGAGACATTACGCTCATATCGATTGTCCTGGACACGCTGATTATATTAAAAATATGATCACTGGCGCTGCACAGGTAAACTTATAGACAACATATGTACATTAGTAAACTAATTTCTAATTTTTTATTGTCATACTTTTATCACTTAGATGGACGGTGCTATTATCGTGGTGTCAGCTACAGATGGTCAAATGCCCCAAACGCGTGAACATTTGCTTCTTGCTAGACAAGTTGGTGTATCGAATCTCGTAGTATTTGTCAACAAAATTGATGCGGTCGATGATAAAGAAATGTTGGAATTAGTCGAAATGGAAATGAGAGATTTATTGACGCAATATGGATTTAATGGAGAAGAAACACCTATAATCATGGGATCAGCACTCGCAGCTCTCGAAAGTCGTGATCCAGAAATTGGTGAAAAAGCTATTGAAAAATTAATGAGCGCTGTCGATAAACACATTCCTACGCCTGTGAGAGATTTGGATAAACCATTCTTGATGTCTATTGAAGGTAATTTAATATTATTATTGTTATTTGTGAACCTGAACAAAACGTTATTTGACTAAATTCGAAAAATTATTAGACGTTTTTTCTATTTCCGGTCGGGGCACGGTTGCTACTGGTAGAGTAGAAAGGGGTACCATTTCAAAAGGTTCTGAAATTGAAATAGTTGGTATGGGACAACCGGTAAAAACAACACTGACTGGTATAGAGATGTTCCATAAAGAACTTGATAAAGGGATGGCGGGTGATAACATGGGAGCTTTATTACGCGGTATCAAACGGGAACAAATTCGACGAGGACAAGTGATTGCTGCGCCTGGAACAGTTAAATCTCACAGGAAATTCTCAGCACAAGTTTACATTCTTACAAAAGAAGAAGGAGGAAGACATACACCATTCATGCAAAATTATAGACCACAAATGTATTTTCGGACATCTGATGTAACTGTTACATTGACGTATCCACCTGGTACTGAAAATCCAGAAGAAAAATTTATTATGCCAGGAGATAACGTCCAACTTGAATGCGAGCTTGTACATGATATGGCAGTCGAACCTGGTATGAGATTTACCATCCGAGAAGGTGGTAAAACAGTTGGAACTGGTAAGATATATTTTATTTAAGTTCATGTTTCATATTTCTTTATAAATAGTCAATTTATAATATCTCTAACATTTCAGGTGTTATTGTTGATATTCATAAATAATGTGCAATTATCTCGTGGATGATTAACTTAAAAGTTAGCTTATTGGTGGTAAAAAATTAAACGTTTATTTAGCAATCCTTGATATAATTTGCTTAAAAATGTAATAATTACTGAAATTTACTAGTGCAATACATTCAAAGATTGTCCTTAGCAATTATAATTATTAATTACATGCAGTTTTAAGAAAAAGTCTCAAATCTATCACAAGATTAACTATCAAAAATTTATTGTTTTAACAAACTAATGGAAGTAGAAATGGTAGCACCCCACAATGCGAAAAGGCCAAGATAAGAAAAGGCTCCTCGTCTTATTTTCTCAGGTCCGCCAGTCTTGCGTAAACCAATCGACCTATTAATGTTGATCGCTTGTCACGTGACAAATCTGTATATATTTTGATAAATAAAAACTTACCCAATATCCAAATACCACCTCCCACAGAAGCGATAATGGGATGCTTTAAACCACCAGCTTCGAGACTAACAAATTAATAAATAAGAATTAAAATATTGTGTAAATTCATCATGTGATATAACTTTCATGAAAACATACGTAAAGAGGAATTGAGGAAGATTTTCAAGAGTGTTCTAAAATTCAAAATAGTTAATTACATATTTTTAAAACGATTGGATAATAAATGCATGTTAAATATTAACTAACTTGATGAGCTCTTTGATAACAATTGAAAATAAACTTGCTGCGATCCTTCTCCGCTTCTTCTTTGGTTGCGTACACTTTATTAAAGAACAGTGAGTTCATCACGTGTAGAGCTAGTGTTCAAAGATAAGCCGGCTTATCACGGCTTGCTGCGGCTTAATGCGGCTTATCATGTGGTAAATTCGAATTTATCATGTGACATTTTCGAGATTATCACATGGCTTGGTGATAAATTCGAATTTACCATGTGATAAGCCGCATTAAGCCGCAGCAAGCCGTGATAAGCCGGCTTGTCTTTGAACACTATGTAGAGCTGTTTTTTTCCCTCAAATAATTAGAGATTCCAACTTACTATAAGGATAAGTAACACCTGCTTTTTTATGATATCCACGCACTTGAACTAGATCCATGTGAAGAACCTTTATTAGATAGATAAAATAAGAAAAGAAAAAAACTCTACTTACAACCGAGATATGTCGTTAAGAATATTGAAGCGACACCGGTAATAATCATCTGATTATAAAGATAAAAAATGTGATATAGATTTCGTATTAAAATGGGTTTAACGTTAATAATAAACTTACATATCCGTATTCACTTGAAACTTCAAGAGCCATTGCAAAATGTTTGAGGGAAAAAAATTTTTAATTATGAACTTTGGGAGAAATCGCCAAATATATATATATTTTCCATTCTTACATTACACATAATTTATTATTAGTAACTGTAATGCAGATATAATGTATTAAGTCGAAAATATTTGGCCGAGTATATTCTCCGGTGCTAGACGGAAATATTTTATCATTTAGCCAATCTACTCTTGACAAATATTGATACATGTATAAACACCAATAATTCATTGCTTCCATATGGGAGATAACTCCGTTAAACTTCTCAATTTGAAGTTACAGTAGAGTGAATAAATGATAAAATTGAAAGCCCTAAGCCTAGAAGCATTTAGGATTTGCGTAGCCATGAATAGCAACTGACATGAATGGACGAGCTTGATAGCAACTGGAAATTTCTAGATCGTATTGTCATTGTGTAATGGTTATCATTGTTGTTGCCCTGTCACTTTCTACAGCTACAATATCTCGCTACCATACGTATTTATTTTTTGCAGATTCAGTCCTCCCAAGTGACAATTACAAAATTCTTTGCTATCAGAATAATTTTTTGGCACGGCCGCGTGTAAACCGGATTTGGATCGATTTTTTTGGCTCAAGTTTATTAAATACAGTCAAACCTCCCTATAGTCACCCTCTATATAAGCTCATCATATAAAAATTCTCTTTATAAGCACATTTATTTTAAAACCAACTATTATAAACATATAGAAAAATACTTCTTTATAAGCACATCTTAGTAAAATTCTCTTTACAATCACACAAATCTTTATCCCGAGAGGTGTGATTATAGGGAGGTTAGACTGTATATTATTATTATCACAATACAATCAGACATCTCAATAGTCACCTCCTATATAAGCATATTTTCTTTACATATACATATTTCAAATATATATAACGTTAATATATTTTCTCTACAATCACACATTTTTGTATCCCAAGTGTGTGATGTAGAGAGGTTTGACTGTATATCATTATTATCACAATATATTATTATTTCATGGTAAATAGATATAATTACAATATCATTGTATTTATTTACCCCTTAAATTATCTTTATTGTTTATGATTATAAATGTTTTTTACTAGCCTAAAATAAAATCAAATTCATTATTCAATTCAATTTGGGTTTATATTATTATTGTGCATCAACTTTTTCATAAATTAAAAAAGAGAGTTAGTTCTGAAAAAATGAGAGAATCATCAACTTGTTCTGAACCTCCGATAAGGGATACACCGTTTATTACGCAACTTCTTTTTATTATCAAGCCCCTTTCTTCTAAATAACATATGTTAATCATATACATAATATATAGATGTGATAGATTGCTTCTTACAAATTTACATAATAAAGGGTATTTCTAAGTAGAGGTTGGAACCGGTTTTATTTTTACAATCCGGATTTACAGCTGTTTTCATAAATTCTGGAACACCTAAAAATTTTTTTATTTCCTAGAATCTTTTCGGTTTCGTCTGGTAAATTACCTAGCTTCCTGGAAACTACATCGCTATTTTCGAACCTTCAGTCCAAAAACAGCAATGTAATTTCCGGAGAGTTAGGTAATTTACCGGACGAAACTGAAAAAATTTCAGGAAATGAGAAAATTTTTAGCTGTCCCGGAATTTATGAAAACAGCTGTAATCTTTCACCCAAAATCAAATCCGGGTTTACCCCGAACTTAAATAAACCCAGATAATTCGGGTTTGTGATTTTATAGCTGTTCTCATAAATTCTGGAACAACTGATAAAAATTGTTTCGGTGAATTTGAATTTAGTCGGTGTTATCGGCATTGGATTTTGGATTACGATAACACTACAGGAGCGACCATTGATGTTACACGACTGGTTTTTCACGTGGTGTGAAATACATAAAAAAATTATTTTACAATACTTGATCGAACTTGATTAGTCAGTTAGTACATGTTATGATTATAATCCCACACCATTTTTTATTATAAAAAAATGGTGTGGGATTATAATCATA